GCGTGGACACGAAGGGGGGGAAAACTCACCGCTTTAATTCCCGGGATTAGTCCGTCGTTCCTGGCCGGTAATCGGGCAATCAGGCACTCCCAAGAATGTCCTAATCGCGGGGGCTCACGGGGAAGAGAAATTTCGGATAAAACCAAGTACTGTACCAACAGAAGTCATGAGACCATCACTCAGCGACTTTTTATGTGTACTGTTCTGTTAAAAACCGCAGTGGGACCCCGGGATGCGGACGTTATTGGCGCTTGGACCTTGTCCGCATGTTGGGTCACAAGTTCCCATAGACTTCAATGCAAACATGTTTAATTGGTTTTGCCGTTTATCAAAAATTAGGAATAATTCCCGTCCCGAAAAATTGAATAAAAAATGTTCCCTCTACTTCAATGTACTGTACATAAGTACCGAAAACAGCTTTACAGAAGAAACCTGCATAGAATCTGATATTTTGGCATCAAGAGGAGCTCAAAAAACAAAGAACAAGAATAAGTCTTGCTATACTTGTGCACATGTGATGGAACAAAATTCTGAAAAAAATAAGCCTGTTTATTTTCGTGAATTCGAGTACATTTATAACGAAACGTTTTTTTTTCAATTTTTGATGTTGAAATAGCTCAATTTGTTGGAGAAATTTCAAAATTAAAAATTAAAGTGTTGGAATTTTCTGAAAAATGTCGTCGAAGTGTTTCTATCCCGAGAAATTGTCAGGATTTCGGATCAGGTTTTTTCCCAGTTTCAAGTGTCCCTAAGTCGAATTGTCCGGATGTCGGGAACTCACTGTACAGTATTCCCCGTAAAAAAAAATCAAAGGGAATGTTGTGATGCGCATCATCCTGATCATATGATCAATCGTAAAAAGGGTGAGTTTCAAACGAGAAAGGACAAATGGACACATTTTTAGCCTTATATCGAACGAGCCTGTGAACCAAGAAAAAAATATGGCGAATGCCAATTACTTAACGTATCCTAAAGTTCTGTGATTCAGTTGACAGGAAAAAAAATTAACTCAAGATAAATTGTCGATGCATAAACATGAAAACTGCACATACCAATTTGAAAATGAAAGAAAGAACGAAGTATCCTGCATTACCCGGTACAGTACCTAACCTAAACTTCTGTCTCTGACGGTGGTTACTCTTCTATCTTTTGAGGCACTTGGATGTGAACACAGGTGGACTGTTTCTACAGCAATTTTCTCTGAAGAACAGCATTTTTTCTTTGCCCCATACAGTTCTCTCCATGTTATAGGAGTTCTCGTTGCTACAACGATTTTTTTTCTGGTCCCCTTGAATTTCGTTGTGCAGCATATAGAGAGAGTCCACCTGTATAACCGCATTCAAAGTCTTTATGAACCAACAATGCACCTTTTTCTAGCTGTTTTTGTCGTTGAGAAAAGCTGTACTGTACTGTAGTAGGAAAACGAAGTGACGGGTGTGTAGCAAATGATAGAAAATACGCGCAAATAATATGCGCTTCTCCCCTTTTCTCCCCGGTGTTTGTTTGAAATAGGTTCCGGAAAGAGCTGAAGCAACTGAGCGCGGACATCAAGAAGGCGAACGAGACGAGGCTGGAGCCCTACGACTACCTGGATCCGGTCGGTGTTCCCAACGCGATAAGCATTTGATGATCTAGTTGGGACCAGTCCGCCAGCAGTCAACGGAATATTGCGAGGAGGCAATGGCTGACTGGCTGGATGACTGCTGGATGGCGATTCCCCCCCCCCCCCGCTCCGAGTCTCCCTGAGGGCACCGCATCAGAGCTACCCTTGTCTTTCTGGGACACAGGGATCTCGAGACCAGCAGCGGTGTATGTTCCCAACTTTTATTTCTTTGGCCTGGCGGCGGGCTAGCAACTTTGTCAGAATTTCTTTTATGGACCAGCGGACATTTTTTGAGGAGCAAAGGTACAGTATTTACCCCCTCGAGGTGCACGCATACCTTAGTTTTTTTGTGCTTACATTTTAGTTCCCAACATATATAGATATTTTTTTTCAGTAACTTGGCTTTTAAAAATGCCTGCTGGTCCATAAAGAAATTATGGCAAATTTGCTTATCCGCCAGTGAGAAGCATATAAATATATTTTTTTTCTCTCTGCTGGCGGATTTTTGCCGGCATTTTTAAAAGTTTTTAAAAGACAAATTTGCTTATCCGCCAGCAAAAGAAAAAATTATATACATTTTCTTTTTACTGGCATTATTTATGGACCAGCAGGCATTTTTAAAAGCCAAATTACTGTATTTACGCTAGTAGAGTACACCCTCCATATAACCAGGGCATGCACCTTCGTTTTTAAGCTCAAATTTTGAGAATAAAATAATTCCCCTTCTGTAGACGCACACCTCACTTCTCAGTTAAAAAATCCATATTTTAAATTCTGCATGGGTTGAAATTCTATATACTAGCCCACTTGAAAGTTGAATCCAATGTTGATGTTTTTGTCTCATGCAAATAGAATACAATTTTCAAGAAAACTTCTGAAGTGGAGAAAAATGAAAAAACAATTCTTGGAAATTCGTACCAGTTAGACTAGGGCATGTTCCTCCCTTTTTTTTTACCCCAGTTTCTCGGAACAAGGTGCATTTTTCATGCAAGGTTCTCCTGGCCATTTTAAGAAGATGACTTTAATTGATTTGTTAGTTTCGGCACGTATTTTGGATCAAACATGTGATCAGCTGAAGGATTTACAGTATTTCGTTGTGTTGCATGCTGCGACTAATCTAGAACACATTGGGCCATTATGCTTTTTTGCTCTAAATTGTGTTAACCCCAAGCATTTTCGACTTGATACGAACAGCATACAGCAAATACCACGTTATTTTGTTCATATTGTTTTTATGTTTGGTCAAGAATAATACTTCGAGTTCCGGAAACATTCTTTCCGAAATGCTGAAGGCTTTTATTTTGTCATTTGTTGAGAAAGCTAGCTTCCTGTGCACAACTCCTCGTCTATATATTGACCGCATTCACTTATCTGATCAAGAAAGAAGAAAAATAGTGATCTTTTATTTTAATTTTTTCTAGAACCCAATGGGCATTAGCGATATAAGACGAGTGTCCCCGAAAGAACCTATTCTTGGGAAGATCGCGTCGCGGAATGCGGAACGACGGGGACAGGTTTATTTTGCCCGAACCTCGTCGCGATACGACGCCTAGTTACTACGCTATATTCTTCGTCGCGCCGAGGGGGGTGCACTGAAAAAAACGATGGGCGAAAAAAAAAAAATCATGCAGTGCGTTGAAATTTATCTTGCAGGCACCAATCAAAAAATTTTAGTTAAGTGAAGTGCGCTGTGTTGATTGGTGCCATGTATCATTTTTGGGTGTATCGTGCGTGCGAAAATTTATTTTTGGGCTTAGTACAGTAATCTGTGAATCTTCAGCTCCAGTGATTTGGCCGCAGCGTTGACGAAGAGAAGCTACCACGCTGAAATTCATGGTCCGCAAGAATTTTATGCTTTGAGTTCCAAATTTTGTTTACGCGAAGTTGGCCTCCGGCGAAAGCCCCAATTTGGCTTAAAAACAAACCAAGACATGAACGGAAATTAACGGAAAACCGCGTTTTCGAGGCAAACATCAGCTGCAACACCACCATGCGACGCATCCATCTGGGTCACCCTTGACCTCGAACTGAGGTCGAGCGTATGATCTCGGCGCTGTAATATGCTTGTACAGCAGTACAGTACAGTACAGTATTGTGTAGTATAGGAACTTCTTCTGCTGTCCCCTAGCTTTGCGTGGTAAAGCACTCGTTCGAATAGCTCCGGAGTAATACGAGTACGCAGAGGTGTCCCCACTTTCATAAACCGCCTTTTTATAGACTTTCATGTATGAATATGAAGCACTCTGTCTTGAAAATACGCGAATGAACGTAAGGGTGATCCATTCGTTTCATGAAGTTCGTAAATGATCTTAAAATTGTCTGTGTAATTTCCCGAGACAGTAAACGTAATCTCCAGAATAAAATGCACCAAAGAAATTCTCTCTAACTTCTCGGGTTACATACACCTGAAGTATATTCCGGATTTCTTTTGGGATTGATCTGTGCAGCAAATAATAGCTGAAGCCTGAAATACAGACTGGAATCGTTGAACTTATTATTTATAAATTCGGAGAATTCGAGCGAAGTTAAGGTGGGGAGGTGTATTTGGATTAACAGGATTTGCTGACAAAACTGCCTTAATTTTTGAAGTCAAAGAGACCAAGATGAATCTTCCATTCAATGAAATACAGAGGGAAGCCGATTTTTTCGGACTGTATATATATGTGCAATTTAGGACCTCCAAATTTGTGTTATTGCAGTGTAAGATTGCGGATCACGGCGAAAATACGCTACTTTTTTCTTGTGCATTTGTATGCACTATCAAGGTTTGGTGCTGCTGCCAAAAGTTGCCTATTCCATCGGGGCAGAAGTGTTCGTTCATCTGCTATTTTGTATGCACGTCTATCGCTTCGCGAGCCAGGAAGTGCCTCGTTCCCATCCGCGTGCGCCAGAGCGCCGCCATGACGGCATATTCGAACTTCATGAAAATGCGAAAAAAAAAAACGGCTGGATAGCTCTGCGTTAGTTCAGAAAGAGAGTGATCGCCTGCGTGAGCGTTCCTGGTTTGCAGTGCGAAATTTGCGTCCGGCTGATAATGGCGAGAGATGTCGAATCGTCCCTGCCTTATGCATTTTGCACTGCCGTATATTCTACGAATAAATTTGTGGGATCGCGAGGTGTTCAAGTTTGAGTGGAAGACGCGTTGTCTATTCGGTCATTTATCGTGTATTGTACCTGAATGTGTATAGTGAACATTTTGCCTCGTTGGAAGGAGCAGTTGAATCTGATACATAGACCGTATGACTTACGTTACTGAAGTGAAAATTTGTGATCTTTGCTTGCAGGTGTGACTGAGGGGGTGGTACCGTTTTTTGAATTCGTGTGTAATAATGATTTACCCCGACGGCGTTAACACGGAAGATACGAGAGCGCGCGTCGGACCGTGCGGAAACCAATGATGGGAACCAACAAGCAGGAGCCGCAACATTATCAGCTCAAGTGGAATAATCACCATGCAAATTTATCGTGCGTTTTCGAGCAGCTCCTGCAAGCCGAAGCCTTCACAGACGTCACCATCGCGTGTGATGGGACGTCACTCAAGTGTCACAAGATGGTGTTAGCGGCATGTTCCTCGTACTTCCAGAAACTCTTCACGGACAATCCTTGCCAACATCCGATCGTCGTCCTGAAGGATGTCCGCTTCTCTGTGTTCCATTCGCTCCTCGATTTTATGTACAAGGGGGAAGTGAATGTATCTGAAGCAGACCTTCCGTCGTTGATGAAGCTTGCTGATAGCCTGAAGATCAAAGGTCTTGTTGAGGAATCATCGCCGCATCCGCCACCACCGTTGTCCCCGATTCAGTCGTTGACTAAAGTCGGTGATGGCACGAAAAACTCGTCGACGTGGACGTCCGATGACTTGCTCAATAATCGGGCGTCCCTCGTTCCGTCTTCCAACCCGGCAAGCAAGTCAGTGCCTCCGATTGCTTGCCTCAACAGTAGTTCGCCGCCGCTTGGCCCCAAGTTTAATGTGATAACAGCCAACGGCGGAGACGAGCGGAGTCCGTCGCGTGAATCGGGTTCCTCGTCCGCTGGCAGCGTGTCCGACGTCCGCATGGCCGCAAAGTCAGGGTTTCTCGGTGCCTTGTCAATTCAGCATCCGATTCTCAGAAATGCCTTGGGTACTGGGAATGGGATTACCGGTGTTTCTGATTCCAGTTCAGCCTACGACTCTTCGGACAACGTAGATCGCAATTCTGTTCTACTGGAGCGCACGGAACGAATTGCCGCTGATGTCGATATTGTAAGTATCCATTTCTGATTACAGTACATTGAAATTCAAGTGACGGCAGTTCCAGAGTACGATTTTTCAAGCTTCTCGATTTGAGGATCTTCTTCTATGGTCATTTCGTTTGGGTTGACCCCTTCTAAAATTGGCGTATAGTGTAACTCAACGTACGGCTTTCAAATCATGCACTTCTGCTGATTTTATCTTCTATTTTTTGTTACTATTCGAGTAATGGAGACGTAAGTCCTGGCTTATTCACTCGGTTGCACTCTTTGACGTTTGTTTGGATACTATTTTCACTGGAAGTCTCTATTTGAGAACTTGTCATTGAAGATAAGCCTGCCCTGCAGCGGTCCTCTGTTTCAGTGCTTGTAATGAGTTTATTTGTTCCTGCGTTGCGGATTTCAGAGATTTTCCATTTTCGTGGTGTTTGCGAAGTAAGTACAGTAGTATTTTTAAAATCACGCAGCCTATTATGTCAGGGGTATGAAAGAGACGCCAAGTGTATTCGCTGCGTTCTTCAAAGTTTTATGCTTTTTCTTGACTTTTTACAGTGTTGTGCGTTGTCGGGGAAGTTTATTAGCGGTCTTTGTTAGGCTCCAATCGTGATTCAAGGGTTTGAGTGTGATTTTACGTGTAGTTGCGCTCAGTAGTGAAGGTAATCTGATGGTCTTTTGAAGTACGGATTTGAAAATCGATTCAGTCTGTGTTAGTTGCAGTCAATGGGGGAAAAACACGTCGGTTAGGAAGTATAATAGCACCTTAAATGCCGCTAATTGAAGACGTTGAGCAGATTTGGCTGACGATAGTGTATTCCATATATCATCGAATGCTAGGTGAAAAAAGAAATGTCTACCTCGATGGACCAGCAGTCGTTCGTGTCGCATGCAGTGGCACAGTTGAAGAAAGAAGCTAGCATCCCGTCTTTGAACCCGATCCGACTCGCGCAGATGCCACTTACGGTGTCACACGTGCCGAAGAACAAGGGTGCACCGGTGACCGTTCTCAAATCCGGGCCTGGGTCAATAAAGGCCAAAGGAATCAACCCGTCTGGCATTAAATTCGAGAATCTTTTGGATGCGGCCGTGGGCAATTTTCCGTCCATACCTCCTCTCATCACGTCGCTTGCCACAAGTTTCACATCGCCATTGAATTTGACGTCTGCCGTGCGTCAAGGTAAGGTTTAGAATTGAGCTTCGTGCCTTTTTTTTACTCCTTTGTGCCTGATCAGAAATTGATAAGTTCATTTCGGCGTTAACGGATATCAATTAAACTCTTTTTTAGTCTTTCCAAGTAATGGTAGGATATTTACGATCCGAGTGGTATTCACGCTGATGTAATGAGCATATACCGTTTTTTAGCCCCTCAAACTTCGGAAACAAAATATTTAAGTCGAATCCGAAATTCATGGTCATTTGATTGACGAAAACCAGTTTGACCGACGATTCTACCGAATTCGAATTTTTGATCTTATTTCCCTAAAAAAGGGATCGCTATGCCCAAAAGCAGAATAACGCTTATTCAAAATCATTCCTTTGTAATTTTCGTGTCTCTCCCGGTTAATGATGTTCTTGGAATTCAGTGCAATACCACGAAAGGCATTTAACTTGAGAAAATTTCAGCTCCGTGGAAGAAAAGGAGTGCTACTACCGTATTTACTCGAGTAAGGTGCGCACCAGATTTTCTGGTCCTAAAATTTCGAAAAAAATCGTACTGTATCTCCGAGTGAGACGCGTACCCCATTTTCATTTTCGAAAAGGCAAAGGTTTGAATTTAAAATGCATCAAAATAAAACTTGTGAGTTTTATTGAACCCATATCAAATTCATTTTCGATTGTTTCCAGTGAAAGGAATTCTTTGTTGAAAATTTTGAAGGATCCAGTTTTATTAGCCTGTAACTTGTAAAAAAAACCCCGCTTTCGACGCACATCTTTCTTCCACATTAATTTGGAGGTGTGCGTGGTACTCGAGTGAATTCGGGTGATTTTTTCTCTCTCGTACTTCCATTGTTGAATGCAGTTTATCCTCGGGGTCATTTTCGAAGACCTAAAAAATTTTTTTCACTTTTTATTAGAAGCGGTATTCGTCACAATTGCCTGATCATCGTGACCTTTTCATTCGATTGTGATATAATTTTGATTCATTCCATTGAAATTTTACAGGTTCAGAGGGTCGAGGCGAAGACTCGTCACGGGAGTGGAAGCGGTACAAACTCTACGACCGGGAAGATCTCCATGCTGCCATAGAAGAAGTGAAACAGGGCAAGAGCGCAGCCGCGGCGGCCAAAAAATTCGGCATCCCGTCGCGCACACTGTACGCCAAAATCAAAAAGCTTGGCATCCCGACGGCCCCGCGGAAAGCCTACGGACGCATGGTGCTCAACGCCCAACAATACCAGCGCGTGTCCGGCGCTGCTGGTGCCGCAGCCGCCGCGGGTGGCGGAGACGGCGGCGTCGGTACCGGACAACAGACTCCGCAGCAGCAATTGGCCGCCGCCACTTCGTTCATGCAGATTCTGAGCCCGCTGACGTCCGGAGCAGCATCGGTGAACCGCGACGAGGACTCCTTCTACGAGGACCTGCGCCGGGCCTATTTGAATGAAGACGAAGAGGAAGACAGTATGGACGACAGCGCAGCTAACAGCCGCACGCCGGACCTGTCATCAAAGCATGACGACGACGGCGAGGAAGACATGAAGGTTGAAGGAATGGACGAAGACGAGGAAGAAGGTTCTCGCGTGGACGAAGACGAGGAGGAGGCGAGTACGAATGTGGCGTGTGTCGTGGAGGCCGAGTTGGGCACGGGCGACGAAGAGGAAGAAGATGACGTCGGGACACGGGAAGAGGAGGTAGAGGCGAGTGTCGCGTGAGTAATCAAAAAAGATAGGATCACCTGCCTTGCATTTTTTTTCTTCAACGACGACGGGGAAAACTTGGTTTCTGAGCTCACATGGCGTGTGAGAAGACAGCCCATGAGTGCCTTAGTGCTTTGTTAGAAGTGCACCCTGTGGCATCCACCCGGTTCTTGTTTTTTTTTTTTTGCGTAGGACGCGAACGAAGTTACTTTTGACAAAATGGTTCGAGAGGTTCATTCAGCCGAATGTATTCAGCGCAGATTTGTTTTTAATCATAACTTGTCGCAGTTCGGGTGACAAACTCACAATCGCCACTTTCAGACTGCTCGCCTTTCTCGATATATTGAAGAAAGCTCGTTTTTTAGTTGTAGTTTTATTCTTGTTGATAAACTTCGTTTAATTCCATTCCCTTTCACGGTAGCATCAATTATTTGTATCTTGGGAGAATATTTTTTTGGACTCTCTTTTATTAATAGTGTTGAAATCGTGAGGCCCTCTTCTGAACTGAGCAATTATGCAAGAGTTGAATAATTTTGAAAAAATATGAACCAATCGTAATAATTGAAGATATTTTTCTTTCCTTTGTGCCCGGAGTCTGTGATTTCACTTGGTAATTTTTAAGATTTTCCGATGTTAGATTAGGGATCCGTACGTGAAAAAGTCGTTTGATAGAATGGTGGAGAATATAACTTGGAAGGTGAACAGTCTATAAGCTGGAAGAGTGAGACCGATATTCAGCGAACATTCTCGTCAAAAATGACGATCATGAGATGTAATCAAAGTCCCGTTTGCGATGTTTTGGTTCAACTTACGTGCTTCCCGAAAGTACACTTCGTTGCTCTGGACGGGAGGTACATTTTTGAAAGGAAGAACTAACTTGATCGATCAACATTCCGTGAAGGTGGTGATCCTTGTATCCTGTACATATTTATCGCGAGGTGAGGGGTTAGTGTGGATATCGGAAATTAACTCTGGGATGAAACTTGAAATACGTGAACTGAAGCCGGTCGGCAGAAGTTGAAACAATTTTTTTTTTAACCTCCGAATGTTATCCATATCATGTACGGGCGGTTCCAATTGTTTGATTTGTAAGTTGAATCAGTGAGCTTTTTTTTTCTGTCTCCTGCCTGCATTTCGACTTTCGAGACTCTATGCATTTCCTATTGAGCAGCTTTTAAATGGTTTCCGTGGACGGAGTTCAGCAGTAAGTTGAGAAAAGTGTTTGTAAAAAAGAAATTGACGAGAAAGACTAGGACCTCAGGGGAATTTTTGTGAGATTTCTGGTGAACGACGCGCGTTCATTCCACGGAGAAGTTTTTAAATTCAGCCATTCAGCCTTGCAGGAAGAGTCACCCCGGTGCAAGAAACGAAACAATGAAACTGGTTATACGTAAAAAAAAAAAGATTTTGCAACATGTACCTCTAGTAGGGTGATTGTAGAAAGATGAATATTTTCCGCGGAGATTTTTGGTAGGTATGTTGAGGAACTCGAGAAGCAATATTCTACGGTGGTCGCGAGCAGAGAGCTCAGAGTTTTTTGTAACGTCCACTTCCGCTCTTGCCAAGTGAGCTTGCCGGAAGTCTTCTTGCCGAGCGTTTCCTGTGTCTTCTCTGAAGTTGCTTGGGAAGTCGTACGGGTCACGAATTGAAATCGGGTTTTTTCCTCGGGGTTCCAGGAGTAAACTTTCTTCCCTGCGTTAGGTGAGAAAAGCATTATTTATTGGCGATCCAGCGGCGAAGAGTATTTATTTTCAACCTCCGGACGAACTGCTACCTCGGTTCTCCCTGTGTGAGGCGCCGTTCGTCGGGTTTTACCTCAAGCGTAAAGAATGTATCCATCGCATTTTCGCTTCCGCCTGGTTTTATGTTTTTGGTATACCTCAGATTAGCATTGAGCGCGTGCGGCGCCTTTTTTTGGCGGAGGGGGATTTTGTTGAGTGTCTTGAGCTTGGTGCAAAAAAATTTGCTCGGGTCGCAAGGTGACGAACGCTGACCGCGTTTCCCCGTTTTCTTTCTCGGTTCTTCGTTCGCTGGAATTTCATCTTCCATGTTATTCTTTCCTTCGTCGGGATATCTTGACAAAAAGCAAGCAACTTCTGGTTTTGCCCCACTTTGAACTAAGAACGGGTGAATCACGGATGAGAATATTTTTTACCTTTTTGAGAAGATTATCGGAAGAGTAGGAATGGTGGTTCTTGAAAGTGAGCTTGACGCCAGGACGACATTCGTAACGAGGTTTTTTTCTTTTTGGGTTTTGGTCCTTTCGAAGACAAGTGAGCATTTTCACAGCTTTCCTTTCTGTTGATGAGAATGACCTGCTTCAATTTTTTCAAATTCATTTGAAGATCTGTTCTGCCGAAAGCTTTTGGCAAATCGAATTTTTTGCCAAGTCTCGTGTTCATTATTTCTTGGAGAAGTTCAAGAAACATTCCTCGCGTTTCGTTTTGTCCGTAGTTTTCATTTCTTGTAGTGCTGACGTAAGCTTCTCTTCTTGCGACTTGAGAGTGACTGCTGTGAAAATGCTGAGAAACTTCGAGGCTGAGGTAACCCGTTTATGATTTCCTGGTGTTGATTTCCGGGAGCTCGTGTTTCATTGTCCTCAGAGGCTTTTCTGATTCGGGTAAACATGTTTTTTTTTTAGTTGAAGAGAAAGCGGCGTTTTTGTGTGAGTGGGTTCAAAGCGTGCCAAACAAAACGGTTTTGTTTGATATGAACTGATTTGAATTTTTAGTCTTCCGTTCC